CGGTGCGCAATTATTTTGCAGAGTTGCACCAGCGACGGTCAGAGTGGGCGCTGTACCTGCGCAGGCGGCTGCTTACGAGGGGTCTGAAGAACTCTCCGTTCGGCGAGTACATTGGACTGTTGAAGAGCCACTTGACAGGACAGAACGTCTTCTACGATCCCCGGCGTCTGGTGGAGACTGTGGCGACGGTGGTGGAGCAGAAACTGCGCAACATCATCGCTGAAAAGGTGGACAGCAGTTTTTGGTATCGGGTCGCTAAGCCGGTGCTCGACGCGTCGGCAGGTATCTCAAAGTGGATGATCCGTGCCTGTAGCGCAGCCGGAGACGAGCTGTCCGTGGCCGGCGTCAGCACCGCATACTACCGAGTGCGAGACAGTTTGTCCGGCCAGACGGACAACATTGTCGACATCTCGTTGGGCATGTGCTCCTGCGAGGCGGCCGACGGCGGTGTCTACTGCAAGCACCAGGCCGCCGTGGCCAGGTACACCGGAGTCTATCCGCCCAACGCCTACGAGGTGAACCGGGACGATGTGACAGCCTACCTGAGATTCGGCACCTCGGAGAAGAAAATCATCTCCTCCCTCGTCTCCTCGACGACTGGGCAGACGGACCTATTGGAGTCGAGGATGGCGGTGGCGGTGGCGGCGGAGGCAGAGGCGAAAAAGAGGAAGAGACTTGCCCAACCAAGGCAGCCACGTGCCAAACGAGTCCGGCCTCCAAATGACTCCTCGAGGGGAGGCAAAGCTGTATCAGGTGGACGCAGTCGACTGCCTCTTGGGCTGCCCGCCGAGACGACCAAATGGCTCGGTCCGATTTGTCTCGATCAGACGCCCTCGGCCGTTGCTGCGCCTCAGCCCGCCCTGCCTCGATTGCCTCGGCTGCCTCGGTTGCCCCGACCGACCTTGCTCGGTACCAGTAACGAGGTTGGCCAGACGTTTGTTCCAGCCTCCCGTCCAGCCAACGCTAGGCGGACCAAGACGGACTCCACAACTGGCCGAGTTCTCGCGACCAGCCAGTCGTCCGGCGAATACGTCTGTCTTCCTTCGCCGCCCGTCTCCAACCCTAATTACCCGCCCGCCCGAGGCCCTCACACTTGCCCGCCTTTGCTAGTCAGCAGGGTTGTCTCTCAGGCAGATCGTCTGCGCGGCCAGCCTCTCTCGCGCGCATCACCTTTATCGTCATCGTCATCGTCACCATCATCAGCATCGCCGTTGTCTACTTCACCCGGCTCAGGCATCGTCCAGACTGATCAAGACATGAGCCGATTGTCAGAGACCAGTCTAGCCAGTCAGCCGGTCTTCTTGCTTCCAGTACCGGGTCCACTGCACCCTGGCCAGCCGGTCGCCTCCTCCGCCACCTCCGCCACCTCCGCCACCTCCGCCACCTCCTCGTCCTCATCCACGTCTGGCCCAGCCGCGGTCGCGGCCATCGCAGCCACCGCCGGCCTCCACGACGTCCACGAGGCGCGCAGACCTGCACCGCTCAAACTCTGCATCGCCTCGATCACTTCCCTCAGCGACCAGTCGCATTCTGCAGACCCGCCTCGCCAAGCCTTCTCCAAACCGGTCAGGACGCCAGAGCCAATACAACCACTCGCAGCCGCCACGCTTGCTCGTCAGGGCTCGCCTTGTCTCCACAAGCCCGAGTTGATAGAGCTCGAGATTAGCGATGACGACAACCAACTCCCACCCTCACCTCCACCGCCTCCATCTCTTCCACCTCCTCCACCCCCACCTTCTCAATTGTCTTCTCCCACTCGGACGGCGAAGAGAGAAGAGACCGACGACTTCATCAGAAGCGCGTGCAATCAGCTGCTCTACACAGTCACAGCCTCCGGTAGGCAGCCCATCATGTGTTGGCGTCATGCCAAATCTCTGCACTTTGCCGACTGGCTGCCTGTTTGGGGTACACCTCAAGCCGGACCGGATATGGTTTCGCCTCGTCTTCGCGAATTGCTCAGACTCCTCTGCCATCCCCAGACCCACCAGTCAGCATGGTTGTCAGTCGTTTGTTGCGCATCCTCACCCAGTCTTGCATGAAGCGATCATGTCTGGCATGGCAGAGGAGTCCGGACAAGCTGGCCTCATGACCATTGGGCCTGAAAACAAGAGCGAGCTGGGAGAACGAGGCCAAACCATGCTTGTCCGTTTGCTTGTGCGTATCTTTTCTATTGTCTCTCTTGCTTAATCTGCCCGCAAAACTGTTGGCTTGCTCGCTTTTCAGCATGTTTGTCTGCTTGCTTTTTCTTTATTTTGCGCCACTTTGTTGTTGTTTGTCTGTCAGCTTGTGTCTGCCTGTTGTCTGACTTGCTGGCCTGATTTCTTGATTGCTTGACTTATTGTTTGCTTCATTGCCTGCATATCTGCTTGTGTGTGTTTTCTGGTGGATTTGATTGCATGCTTACTTGATCATCCTGATTGATGCATCACAGAGATACTTTATTGCTTGCTTGTTATCTTGTTGGATTACTGGTTTGACGACAGGAGTGCTTGCATCTCCGCTGGCCGCCTCAATTGCTATGTTGATGGTTGGTTTGTTTACTTTTGTCTTGGTGGTTGGTTGGTGGGTTACTTGATTGTAGGCTTGTCCGCCCAATTGTTAAGTTGTTTGTGCATTTTTTCTTGTTTGCTCGCATGTCGGCCTGATTGCTTGCTCGTTCGTTTGTTATATTGTCTGCTTATTTTTTAGCTTTTCTAGTTTTCTCGATTGTGGCTTTGCTTGCTCGCCTGACTGTGTCTGTTTGCCTGTCTTTCGGTCTGCATGTCTGTATGCTTGCTTTCTGTTTATCTATTTTTGTTTGTATGTATGTATATATATGTATGCATGCATCGAGGCTACTTTTGGAATCTGTTTTCTCTATTTTTCTCATTTGTTGGTTGGCTCATCACCTTGCTAACTCGTCAGATTGCTGACTCATTTGCCTGTTTGTCTGCTTGTATGCCCGCTTGTTACATTGTTTGTTGTTTTTCCTTACATGCTTTTTTCTCCTCTTTTTTGCTTGATTGCCTGCGCGCATGTTTCTTGATTAGTTTGCTTGTATGTTTGCTAATTTCTTCGATTATCTGTCTGATTGATGTGCTGCCAGAATGCTGAGTTTTCACGTATTTTCTGTTTACCGGATAGTGTATGTGTGTGAGTGTATGAAAGCGTGTTGCTTGTAGAGATTTTTTTTTGCCGGTTCGATTGTCTGTATTTTGGATTTTATCGCATTTCTGCTTGCTTGTTACTATGACTCGAGAGGTCAATGACGGCCTCAACAGGTAGGCCAACAGACTTTGTGCGAGCTAATGTTGTGTGTCCACCCATCTTTCAGGTGATGTCGGAGTGAGACGATACTTTGTCAAGCTCTGCCAACAGATCATGATCCGCGGCGCC